ACACCACACCAGGTACTCATGTAATGCCTAATCGACCTAGGGGAGGTTCAGGACCGGTTCAGATATTCGTCACTGATTTTGGCTGTCGGTGGGCATCAGCGTCAGACACACAAACCAATTCCCCATAGCCTCCCACGTCAGACACACAAACCAATTCCCCATAGCCTCCCACGTCAGACACACAAACCAATTCCCCATAGCCTCCCACGTCAGACACACAAACCAATTCCCCATAGCCTCCCACGTCAGACACACAAACCAATTCCCCATAGCCTGCCACGTCAGACACACAATCCAATTCCCCATAGCCTCCCACGTCAGACACACAATCCAATTCCCCATAGCCTCCCACGTCAGACACACAATCCAATTCCCCATAGCCTCCCACGTCAGACACACAATCCAATTCCCCATAGCCTCCCACGTCAGACACACAAACCAATTCCCCATAGCCTCCCACGTCAGACACACAATCCAATTCCCCATAGCCTCCCACGTCAGACACACAATCCAATTCCCCATAGCCTGCCACGCTCACCTCCACCCTCACATATTCCCTCACACACATTCCCTCACACACACACACACATTCCCTCACACACACACACATTCCCTTACTTCACACACACACATTCCCTTACCTCACACACACACATTCCCTCACCTCACACACACACACATTCCCTTACACACACACATTCCCTTACACACACACACATTCCCTTACACACACACACACATTCCCTTACACACACACACATACCCTCACACACACATTCCCTCACCTCACACACACACACATTCCCTCACCTCACACACACACACATTCCCTCACCTCACACACACACACATTCCCTCACCACACACACACACACATTCCCTCACCTCACACACACACACATTCCCTCACCTCACACACACACACATTCCCTCACCTCACACACACACACATTCCCTCACCTCACACACACACACATTCCCTCACCTCACACACACACACATTCCCTCACCTCACACACACACACATTCCCTCACCTCACACACACACACATTCCCTCACCTCACACACACACACATTCCCTCACACACACATTCCCTTACACACACATTCTTACACACACATTCCCTTACACACACATTCCCTTACACACACATTCCCTTACACAAAGATCCCCCATATAGCCTTAATAGACTGTAGGGGCAAGTGCTGTTAGCGAGCACCTATGAAGGCCGGAACGGTACACGAGGGGGTGGGTGGCAGCACCACGCCCGACCGCCTTTGTCTCCCTAGTGGCAATGTTTACACACCGCACCAGGTACTAATTTGAGGCTGAGTCGACCTAGGGGAGGCCCGGGACCGGTTCAGATAATCGTCACTGGTGTTGGCCGTGAGCGGGAATCGAACCCGGGTCGCCAGGTTCATAGCGCAGCGCACTAACCGCTACACCATCGCTCCCCATTGTATATTTATCATTAATACCCTCACACACACACATTCCCTCACACATACACACATTCCCTCACACACACACATTCCCTCACACACACAGATTCCCTCACACACACACATTCCCTCACCTCACACACACTCCCTCACCTCACACACACTCCCTCACCTCACACACACACACATTCCCTCACACACACATTCCCTCACACACACACACACCTATACCTTCACCACCCTCACCACCACCACCATCACCCCAATCTCCCTGGCTCTCTCACTCGTCTCCTCACCCTCCAGGCAGCAGGTCATCCAGAGCCCCAAACCTCCTCACCTGCACCCTCACCCATCCCATCCTCTCTCACACACACACACACCTCTACCCTCACCACCATCACCCCAATCTCCCCGTCTCTCTCACTCGTCTCCTCACCCTCCAGGCAGCAGATCCTCCAGAACCCCAAACCTCCTCACCTGCACCTTCACCCATCCCATCCTCTCTCACACACACACACACACGCACCTCTACCCTCACCACCATCACCCCAATCTCCCCGTCTCTCTCACTCGTCTCCTCACCCTCCAAGCAGCAGATCCTCCAGAGCCCCAAACCTCCTCACCTGCACCCTCACCCATCCCATCCTCTCTCACAGACACACACACACCTCTACCCTCACCACCATCACCCCAATCTCCCCGTCTCTCTCACTCGTCTCCTCACCCTCTAGGCAGCAGATCCTCCAGAGCCCCAAACCTCCTCGCCTGCACCCTCACCCATCCCATCTTCTCACACACACACACACACCTCTACCCTCACCACCATCATCCCAATCTCCCTGTCTCTCTCACTCGTCTCCTCACCCTCCAAGCAGCAGGTCCTCCAGAGCCCCAAACCTCCTCACCTGCACCCTCACCCATCCCATCCTCTCTCACACACACACACACACACCTATACCCTCACCACCCTCACCATCACCCCAATCTCCCTGTCTCTCTCACTCGTCTCCTCAACCTCCAAGCAGCAGATCCTCCAGAGCCCCAAACCTCCTCACCTGCACCTTCACCCATCCCATCCTCTCTCACACACACACACGCACCTCTACCCTCACCACCATCACCCCAATCTCCCCGTCTCTCTCACTCGTCTCCTCACCCTCCAAGCAGCAGATCCTCCAGAGCCCCAAACCTCCTCACCTGCACCCTCACCCATCCCATCCTCTCTCACAGACACACACACACCTCTACCCTCACCACCATCACCCCAATCTCCCCGTCTCTCTCACTCGTCTCCTCACCCTCTAGGCAGCAGATCCTCCAGAGCCCCAAACCTCCTCGCCTGCACCCTCACCCATCCCATCCTCTCACACACACACACACACCTCTACCCTCACCACCATCACCCCAATCTCCCCGTCTCTCTCACTCGTCTCCTCACCCTCCAGGCAGCAGGTCATCCAGAACCCCAAACCTCCTCACCTGCACCCTCACCCATCCCATCTTCTCACACACACACACACACCTCTACCCTCACCACCATCATCCCAATCTCCCTGTCTCTCTCACTCGTCTCCTCACCCTCCAAGCAGCAGGTCATCCAGAGCCCCAAACCTCCTCACCTGCACCCTCACCCATCCCATCCTCTCTCACACACACACACACACCTCTACCCTCACCACCATCATCCCAATCTCCCTGTCTCTCTCACTCGTCTCCTCACCCTCCAGGCAGCAGGTCATCCAGAGCCCCAAACCTCCTCACCTGCACCCTCACCCATCCCATCCTCTCTCACACAGACACACACACCTCTACCCTCACCACCACCATCACCCCAATCTCCCTGTCTCTCTCACTCGTCTCCTCACCCTCCAAGCAGCAGGTCCTCCAGAGCCCCAAACCTCCTCACCTGCACCCTCACCCATCCCATCCTCTCTCACACACACACACACACACCTCTACCCTCACCACCCTCACCATCACCCCAATCTCCCTGTCTCTCTCACTCGTCTCCTCAACCTCCAAGCAGCAGATCCTCCAGAGCCCCAAACCTCCTCGCCTGCACCCTCACCCATCCCATCCTCTCTCTCACACACACACACCTCTACCCTCACCACCATCACCCCAATCTCCCTGTCTCTCTCACTCGTCTCCTCACCCTCCAGGCAGCAGGTCATCCAGAGCCCCAAACCTCCTCACCTGCACCCTCACCCATCCCATCCTCTCTCACACACACACACACCTCTACCTCACCACCATCACCCCAATCTCCCTGTCTCTCTCACTCGTCTCCTCACCCTCCAGGCAGCAGGTCCTCCAGAGCCCCAAACCTCCTCACCTGCACCCTCACCCATCCCATCCTCTCTCTCACACACACACCTATACCCTCACCACCACCATCACCCCAATCTCCCTGTCTCTCTCACTCGTCTCCTCACCCTCTACCCTCACCACCATCACCCCAATCTCCCTGTCTCTCTCACTCGTCTCCTCACCCTCCAGGCAGCAGGTCATCCAGAGCCCCAAACCTCCTCACCTGCACCCTCACCCATACCATCCTCTCTCACACACACACACCTTTACCCTCACCACCCTCACCACCACCATCACCCCAATCTCCCCGTCTCTCCCACTCGTCTCCTCACCCTCCAGGCAGCAGGTCATCCAGAGCCCCAAACCTCCTCACCTGCACCCTCACCCATCCCATCCTCTCTCTCACACACACACACACCTCTACCCTCACCACCCTCACCACCACCCCAATCTCCCTGTCTCTCTCACTCGTCTCCTCACCCTCCAAGCAGCAGATCCTCCAGTGCCCCAAACCTCCTCACCTGCACCTTCACCCATCCCATCCTCTCTCACACACACACACACACCTATACCCTCACCACCACCATCACCCCAATCTCCCTGTCTCTCCCACTCGTCTCCTCACCCTCCAGGCAGCAGGTCCTCCAGAGCCCCAAACCTCCTCACCTGCACCCTCACCCATCCCATCCTCTCTCACACACACACACACCTCTACCCTCACCACCCTCACCACCACCCCAATCTCCCTGTCTCTCTCACTCGTCTCCTCACCCTCCAAGCAGCAGATCCTCCAGTGCCCCAAACCTCCTCACCTGCACCTTCACCCATCCCATCCTCTCTCACACACACACACACACCTATACACTCACCACCCTCACCACCACCATCACCCCAATCTCCCCGTCTCTCCCACTCGTCTCCTCACCCTCCAGGCAGCAGGTCATCCAGAACCCCAAACCTCCTCACCTGCACCCTCACCCATCCCATCCTCTCTCACACACACACACACACCTATACCCTCACCACCCTCACCACCACCATCACCCCAATCTCCCTGTCTCTCCCACTCGTCTCCTCACCCTCCAGGCAGCAGGTCATCCAGAGCCCCAAACCTCCTCACCTGCACCCTCACCCATCCCATCCTCTCTCTCTCACAGACACACACACACCTATACCCTCACCACCCTCACCACCCTCACCACCACCATCACCCCAATCTCCCCGTCTCTCCCACTCGTCTCCTCACCCTCCAGGCAGCAGGTCCTCCACAGGCCCGAGTGGGTGCGCACTTCCTCGGCCCGGCGCGCCGCCGTCTCGTTGTCGTCGTGGGGTCGCGAGCGGCAGGTGCCCCGCGCGTACAGCCAGTAGTCCGTGCCCACAGCGATGGTCATGAGGCTGAAGGCCGTGAAGGCTCCCACGGTGGTGAGCGTCCCGCGCACGCCTCGCTCGCACGGGCTGCCCATGCTGCCCAGGATGCAGTCCCACCGCCGCCGCCGCTGCTGCCCTTTGCACCTCGCCGGGCCGCCGCTGCTGCCCTCCCACTCCCACCCCCCCCACCCCCCCCCCCAACTTGCCCCCTGCCCCACCACCACCCCACCACCCTCCCCCCAAACCTTCACACAGCCGCGCTGCCCTTTTCACCACGGCCACGCTTCCACTGCCACGCGGTCGCGCTGTCCTGCCCACAGCTGCCCACAGCTGCCCCCGCCACCACGTGACTCGCGACCTCGCTGCCCCTGCACACGAGGAGGCGACACGGGGCAGTGTCGCGTCGGGCGGGGAGGGGTGGGGGGGTGAGAGGGGAGGAGGTGGAAAGGATGAGGATGATGTCGATGTGTGTGGGTGACGAGTGCGTTGAGGTTTCGTGTGGGGTTGGAGGAGCGGTGATGTGATGGAGGGGTATAGTGATGGGGGTGATGGGTGTGAGGAGGTGATGTGATGTGTAGGGTGGTGGGAGTGGCGGGGGGGGGGGGGTGATGTGATGTGTATGGTGATGGAGGTGGGAGGTGATGTGATGTGTAGGGTGATGGGGTGATGGAGGTGGGGAGGTGATCTGTAGGGTGATGGGATGATGGAGTGGTGTTGAGGTGATGTGTAGGGTGATGGGATGATGGAGTGGGTAGGTGATCTGTAGGGTGATGGGGTGATGGAGTGGGTAGGTGATCTGTAGGGTGATGGGGTGATGGAGTGGGTAGGTGATGTGTAGGGTGATGGGATGATGGAGTGGGTAGGTGATCTGTAGGGTGATGGGGTGATGGAGTGGTGTTGAGGTGATGTGTAGGGTGATGGGATGATGGAGTGGGTAGGTGATCTGTAGGGTGATGGGGTGATGGAGTGGGTAGGTGATCTGTAGGGTGATGGGGTGATGGAGTGGGTAGGTGATCTGTAGGGTGATGGGGTGATGGAGTGGGTAGGTGATGTGTAGGGTGATGGGATGATGGAGTGGGTAGGTGATGTGTAGGGTGATGGGGTGATGGAGTGGGTAGGTGATGTGTAGGGTGATGGGGTGATGGAGTGGGTAGGTGATCTGTAGGGTGATGGAGTGGGTTGGGTGATGGGTGGAAGGGAGGTGATGTGATGTGTAGGGTGATGGGGTGATGGAGTGGGTAGGTGATCTGTAGGGTGATGGGGTGATGGAGTGGTGTTGAGGTGATGCCATGTGCAGGGTGATGGGAGTGAGGAGGGAGGGGGTGATGGGGGAATGAGATCGGGCTCGGGAGTCGGTGTGATGGGTGAGGTGGGTGATATGATGGGTGGGGTGGGTGATGTGATTGGTGGAGTGTGTGGTGTGATGGGTGAGGTGGGTGATGCGATTGGTGGAGTGTGTGATATGATGGGTGGGGTGGGTGATGTGATGGGTTGAGTGTGTGGTGTGATGGGTGAGGTGGGTGATGTGATGTGATTGGTGGGGTGTGTGGTGTGATGGGTTGAGTGTGTGATGCGATGGGTTGTGATGCGGTATGTGGTGTCTGTGCATGTCACGTGACGTGCGTGTGTAAATGTTTGTGCTGTGCGATGTCAACATCGCCACTGGGGAGACAAAGGCGGCCGGGCGTGGTGCTGGTCAGCCAAATCCTCGTCTCCCTTACCGACCTTCATAGGTGCTCGCTAACAGCACTTGCCCCAGAATTCTGTTTTTTTTAAGCCTATACGGGGATCTTTGCCTTTTGACATACTACGTTCCGTGACATGTAACGTGATGCCACAACGTGCGGAGTGAGAGATGTTGCTCCGTGATGTGTGATGTGCGTTGATGTTGTTACGAGCGTGTGATGCGCTGCTATGTGATGTATGCTTCCGGTGTTCTAGGGGGGAGTGCTGTGGATGTTGTGCTGTCCGTGTGTGCCGCGTGATGCCACGGGTGGGGTTTGTGATGGCTTGGTAGGGCTGTGATGGTGTGTGCCATGTTAGGTGACGTGGTGCGCGAAGCGTGTGTTTGTCTGCGCGTGTGAGGTGCGTGCTGTGTCTGTGCGATATGGTGCCAGGGATGTGTGATTGGCAGGCTGCGTATGATGTGCTACGTGATATGATGCTTGATGTGTAGGGTGTGTGAACGTCTCCTAAAGCTACGCAGGGGAATCTTTGTCTGTGTTGTGCCTTGCTATGTGATGTCTTATGTAATATGCGATGTTATGTGTGATCGATTGTGTGTGCCCTGTGTGGGATGTGTGGTGTGCTTTGTGCGGTGTGCTGTCTGTGGTGTTGCTGTCTGTGGTGTTGCTGTGTGCTGTGTGTGGTGTTGGCGTGTATGGTGTGATGTGTGTGGTGTGCTGTCTGTGGTGTGCTGTGTGTGGTGTGCTGTGTGTGGTGTTGCTGTGTGTGGTGTTGCAGTGTGTGGTGTGCTGTGTGTGGTGTTGCTGTGTGTGGTGTTGGTGTGTATGGTGTGCTGTGTGTGGTGTGCTATGTGTGGTGTTGCTGTGTGTGGTGTTGCAGTGTGTGTTGTGCTATGTGTGGTGTGCTATGTGTGGTGTTGCTGTGTGTGGTGTTGCTGTCTGTGGTGTTGCTGTGTGTGGTGTTGCTGTGTGCTGTGTGTGGTGTTGGTGTGTATGGTGTGCTGTGTGTGGTGTGCTGTGCTTGGTGTTGGTGTGTATGGTGTGCTGTGTGTGGTGTGCTGTGTGTGGTGTGCTGTGCGTGGTGTTGGTGTGTATGGTGTGCTGTGTGTGGTGTGCTGTGTGTGGTGTGCTGTGTGTGGTGTGCTGTGTGTGGTGTGCTGTGCGTGGTGTGCTGTGTGTGGTGTTGCTGTGTGTGGTGTTGCTGTGTGTGGTGTTGCTGTGTGCTGTGTGTGGTGTGCTGTGCGTGGTGTTGCAGTGTGTGGTGTGCTGTCTGTGGTGTTGCTGTGTGTGGTGTTGCTGTGTGCTGTGTGTGGTGTGCTGTGTGTGGTGTTGCAGTGTGTGGTGTGCTGTGCGTGGTGTGCTGTGTGTGGTGTTGCTGTGTGTGGTGTTGCTGTGTGTGGTGTGCTGTGCGTGGTGTGCTGTGCGTGGTGTGCTGTGTGTGGTGTTGCTGTGTGTGGTGTGCTGTGTGTGGTGTGCTGTGCGTGGTGTTGCTGTGTGTGGTGTGCTGTGTGTGGTGTGCTGTGTGTGGTGTGCTGTGTGTGGTGTGCTGTGTGTGGTGTTGCAGTGTGTGGTGTGCTGTGCGTGGTGTGCTGTGTGTGGTGTTGCTGTGTGTGGTGTTGCTGTGTGTGGTGTTGCTGTGTGTGGTGTGCTGTGCGTGGTGTGCTGTGTGTGGTGTTGCTGTGTGTGGTGTTGCTGTGTGTGGTGTGCTGTGTGTGGTGTTGCTGTGTGTGGTGTGCTGTGTGCTGTGTGTGGTGTTGCTGTGTGTGGTGTTGCTGTGTGTGGTGTGCTGTGCGTGGTGTTGCTGTGTGTGGTGTGCTGTGTGCTGTGTGTGGTGTGCTGTGCGTGGTGTGCTGTGTGTGGTGTGCTGTGTGTGGTGTGCTGTGTGCTGTGTGTGGTGTGCTGTGTGTGGTGTTGCAGTGCGTGGTGTGCTGTGCGTGGTGTGCTGTGTGTGGTGTTGCTGTGTGTGGTGTGCTGTGTGCTGTGTGTGGTGTGCTGTGTGTGGTGTTGCTGTGTGTGGTGTTGCAGTGTGTGGTGTTGCTGTGTGTGGTGTTGCAGTGTGTGGTGTGCTGTGTGTGGTGTGTGGTGCTTTGCGTGGTGTGCTGTGTGTGTGCTGCACATTGTGTGAGTGTGTATGTTTGTGTGCAGCACAGTGGGGAGCGGTAGTGTAGCGGTTAGCGCTGTTGCGCTACGAAGCCTGCCACTCGAGTTCGATTCCAACACCAGTGACAATTATCGGAAATGGTCCTGAGACTCCCCGTGGTCGACTCAGCCTCAAATGAGTACCTGGTGCGGTGTGTAAACATCGCCACTGGGGAGACAAATGCGGTCAGCGGTGGTGCTGGCCACCCACCCCCTCATGTACCGTTCCCGGCCTTCACAATTGCTCGCTGACATCACTTGCCCCAGCAGTCTGTTAAGGCTATACGGGGGGTCTTTGTCTTTGTGTGTGACCAGGCTTGTGTAACTGTATCGGAGAGCGGTCGTGTTGCGGTTAGCGCTACGCTGCACTACGAACCCGGCGACCCGAGTTCGATTCCCGCTCACGGCCAACACCGGTGATGATTATCTGAACTGGTCCTGGGCCTTACCTAGGTCGACTCAGCCTCAAATGAGTACCTGGTGTGGTGTGTAAACATCGCCACTGGGGAGACAAAGCCGGTCGGGCGTGTTACTGGCCACCCACCTCTCGTGTGCCGTGCCGGCCTTCATAGGTACTCGCTCACAGCACTTGCCCCAACAATCTGTTACAGGCTATAGGGGGGGTCTTTGTGTTTTTTTTATGTCTTTTCCCCCCGGTGTGTGTGTGTGCTGCACGGGGTGTGTTGCACGGTGTGTGTGTGTGCTGCACGGTGTGTGTTGCACGGTGTGTGTGTGTGTGTGTGTTGTGCACGGTGTGTGTTGCACGGTGTGTGTGTGTGTGTTGTGCACGGTGTGTGTTGCACGGTGTGTGTGTGTGTGTGCTGCACGGTGTGTGTGTGTGTTGTGCACGGTGTGTGTTGCACGGCGTGTGTGTGTGTCCTGCACGGGGTGTGTTGCACGGTGTCTGTGTGCTACACGGTGTATGTGTGTGTGCTACACGGTGTATGTGTGCTACACGGTGTATGTGTGCTACACGGTGTGTGTGTGTGTACTACACGGTGTGTGTGTGTGCAAACGGTGTGTCTTACACGGTGTGTGTGTTACACGGTGTGTGTGTACTATACCTGGCAGTGTGCTTATGACCGGCTCCGGTTTGACAGCAGAGGTCTCACTCCGAATCAGTCGAGCGGCATTATCTTTTCATCGGTTGCGTAACGCTGTGTGGAAGCTACCTGGTCTGTCGAAGCTTCAGGTCTTCTCGGCCACAGTCATTCCCTCCCTTCTCTATGCTTGCGAAACGTGGACCCCCCCCTAATGGAACATCTTCGCCGGTTAGAAACATTTATGCTAGCCTGCCATCGAACCATCTTGGGTTTAACCAGGCTGGATTGTGTGAGGAGCTCA